TAAGTATCATGTCATAGGGCATGAATATGAGTTGTCATGAATGTCACAACTTAAGAGTTGTGTTGTCTTTCCTTGTATATGAAGATTGGAAGTACAAAGAACCTGAATTAATGACTGAAAAGGATAAAATGACATCCATAGAGACAAGGCTTTATTACAATACTATCTTTTTTATGGCCCACAAATAGAACCAAGATAGGAACAATTTCAGACCTCGAGTGCTTAACAGCATTTGATATATAATAGGCATTCAGATGTTTCTTTTAAGGATAAATTATGTGACTGAGAATTGTTTTGAAAATAATTCTAGGGGCCGGGGAGATGGCTCAGTAGGATAAGTGCTTGACTGGCAAACACAAGGATCTGAGTTCAATCCCCGGTTCCGCCAAAAAAAAAAAAAAAAAAAAAAAAAAAAAAAAGAAAAGAATTCTAGCCAGTCACTGGCTGAAAGTCCGAAGGGAGGAGAGGTGGATTGAAATAGTGAAAGTCTGTGTCCTGGGTAATGATGTTTGCTGAAGCAGAAGTGACAAGCTCTAGACAGTGAGACTGCGCAGGCTGGCACCTGCAGAATTCCTACTTGTTCCCTCAGCACCCCCAGCCCCCATCAGTGTATGTGATGGTGTTGGCCACGAGCTCATTTGCCAGTTACAGAGGGATGATTTTTTTAAACATACCATGTGCGCCATAGCCATTGAGAATAAGATATAAGTCTTCTGTCCCCCGAGATCTGGCCTTCCCTTTTTTCTCCCCTCACCACTAGCCTTCTCTAGCTGAGTGAGTACACATCTAGCTCTTGCAGGCTCTGTATGCTGTTTCCTGGGCTTCCAGCTTGCTACTTTCTCCTGCTTTCGTCTAAGGGGCCCATTTTCCATGTAGCATCTACCCCACTATTTTATTTTTCCCTTCATACTGATCAACTGGCAAAGTACTTTGTATGAAACCAGTGTCTAGATTTTCACTGACCTGCTTTAAATGTTAAATGTTCTTAAAATGGAAGTTCATGTGCCATTGTAATTTTTTTTTCACATTTTAAGTTCATGTAACAGAAATTTGTTAAATGCTTAACAGAGTTAAGCTGTTGTGCTTGCTATTATCTGAATAGTCCTAGATTTGACAAATATTTACTGAAGATTGCTTAAGTGGTAAAAATATAAAGTTGAAACCTATTTCCTTTTTTCGTACAATAGGACAGAATGGTAGCAGTTTTGAATTAATTCATTAGTCCACATCTACCATGAACTTATAGTTGAGTTGTCATGAATATATGTAGAACTCATTTTGACAAATGAAACATCTATAAGTTGTAGACAATTAGGTTATAATTCATAATTTATGGAAAATATGGTATCTGTAGGTTATATAGATTATGGTGATCAATAATATTTTAGCAATATTTGTATTTTCATATTTTCTTCTTTGGAGAAGTAAATGTGGATTAGTTGATAGAAGAATTTTCTAGTAGCATATTTTAGGAATGACTGGTTGGCTTATTAAGCAGGTTGAAATAAGATCCACAGAAAGCTGTGGTAAACCTGAATTACATGTTGCATTATTGAGAGATTATCACGATTCTATTAATACAGTTCTTAAAAACATGTTCTAAATCTCAATTTATGTATAATTATTTTATGAGGTAATTACTATGTTTTCAGGGAACTATTGTTGATAAAATTAATCAGAGAATGTCTTCAAATAGATCATTAAATGTATTTGGTCTGTGTTTGTTTGCTTCATAGTTTTAGCCCTGAATGCAAGATCACAAAACTTTAAAATGTCCTGAGAAATTCATTGTCTTATAATGTTATAAATGGATATTCATTCATTGAACAGGCATGGCATGTACTGGGTTTATTCTGAAAACTATTATTTTAGGTACTAAGGATGTGGAGTTCATGCTTCCTTTTGTCATGGAGTTTATGTTCTAGTGAATGAGACAGACAGTAAACCAGGAAACACAAACACACACAGAGTGAAGACAGAGAAATTATGTTATGTTGGGACAGTATTAGACTGAGAGGTCAGGGTAAGGCTCCCTGGGGACATGACCTTTCACTTGAGAACTAAGGTATGAGAAACAAGCAGTTCTAAAACGGTTCAGTCAAGGAGCATCCCAGGCCAAGCCCACAAAAAATACCAAGATCTTGCCTGAGTTCAGAAGAAGCCTGGCATGTTCACAAGTCAGAAGAGGTTGTGAGGGTGGAGTAGGAAGGGAGCTGGTGGGCAGGGTCAGCCTCAGAGGCAGGCGGACTGGGCCAAGCGCTGCCGTCCTCGTGGGCCGTGCAGACTCAGACTTCCTTCTATGTTCAGTAGGCAGCCACTGAAGAGTTTTACGCAAGGAAGCGTTTTCTGTTTTCCTATGGGGATCTTGACCGCTCTGTGGAGATGGGGTCTCAGGAGCAGGGAGAAGGACTGAATATCAAGTCATCATAATGGTGAGAAACATGGAAGCTCGCAGAGGAGCTGGGCCGGGGCAGGAGTGCAGCAGAGAGCACTGGAGTTGGCAGTCAGAAGAGCAGATCGACCCAACATTTGGATGTGCACAAAATTTCTGATAATAGTTGGGAGTGGAGAACAATTTTTCTTAGTGAAGTCTAAGAACAGGATGGTGTGGAGGTAGCTACTTAGAGCATCCAGATTCCATTTTTGCTGTGTATCTTGAGTTAAGAGTTCCCGCACATATTCTTTATTATAGTGAAACAGCTTTTTCAGAGCACTTGCAGTTCAGATACACTTAAAACATGTCACCACTTACAGTTGGCTGCAGTGAATGAAAGGGAAGTAGGAAGATGGCAGCAAAACTGAGCAAATCATTTCATCTGAAAACATAAAGCATGACCCAAGGCAGTTTATTTTGCTCGTAGTCATTTCTTTTTTGGAGAGAAGATTCCTCTTATAAGTAACCTACACAAAAACCTGAACTTTTCCAAATCATATTTTCATGTTTTTAGTCCTCTGGGAAGTTCCTAACTATGATGTATAAATGTCAAAAGGTGTTAGCCTTCCAAATGACGTATAAATCAAACGGTCCTGGAATCTTCTTTGAATTCCTCCTCTGACAAGCTGGTCCCCATTCTTTCTTTCATCTGACTTTTAAAACCATCCCAGGTTGGGCTGGTGAGATGGCTCAGTGGTCTAAAGCACCTACTTAGAACAAGCTTAGCAAAGCACGGGTGACCACGGTTCAATCCCCCCGCACCACATGCCAGTCAGCCCCGCCCCCTGGTGGGTTGAGCTGGCCACACACACACACACACACACACACACACAAACACACACACACACACACACACACACAAATCCCAGGTGACTTTGGGTCCCCATGGCTAACGCTGACCTAGTGAATCTGCAAGAAGGTTGGGCTCAGTGCCCTTGGCCTCTACTGTGGAGGTACAGGGGGCAAGATGGAGCCACAGAGCAGTTACGAGTTACTGAGGGGCTGGGGCCAAGCTGCAGAGCTTCCTGGAGGATAGGGTTGAACAGATGTGGCTCCTGGTCCCCACCTCAGCTGCAGCTGAAAACCAGCATTTGTTTGTTACACATTGATTTGGAGAACACGATTTGGCTTGAATAAAGAGCACAGTTCTTTAAAAAGATTTAAATGCACTGTTTGAGGCTATTGCAAACTTGCTTCCTCAAATGGTCCCAGCCCACAAACTCTTTTTTTAATTAAGGTCTCAAATGTGAATTGACTTTCCCCAGCCAGTAAATGAAACTCCCATTCCCAGTAATAGCCTCAAATTCCATGGGTTAGAATCTACCTACTGCTGACCCCCTAGCTACTATAGGAATTTTTCAGAGTCTTTCTCCCTTTCCCTTTTGTGCTGACCTCCATCCCCACACTCCAGGCAGGGTCTTGCTAACTCGCTAAGTTGCCTAGGCCAATCTTGAACTTGTGATCCTCCTGCCTTTACCTCCCAGAGTGCTGGACTGGTAGGCCTGCATCACCACCCATGGCCCAGATAGCTTCACTTTATGACACTTACATCTCATGGACCCCCAAAGTCTGTGGATTCTAAATTAGATTAGTTGCTAGTTTGGGTTGATTTTTAATATCCTTGGACTTCTCCTTTTCTAAATTTGGGTATTTCTCTTTCTTCTGGGCATTGGAGCAATGGCTTACTCCTTTCATCTCCATCTCATCCATCTTGCACAGACGAGAGCCACAGTAGGGATGATGGAGCCTCATGTGGTGCAGCAGGAAGAGAGCTCTGAGCTCTGCTGGGCATGGAGAGAAGGGTTCAGGCCTCTAACTTGGACACTGAAGTCCTACTCCTTAATACAGGATTCAGACTATGCAGCCTTGGAAAACCATGCACCATACTGGTTTTGAGTCCCACCGCATCCTTAGGTGATGGGACACCCTCCCCTCTTTCTCAAGCTTATTGTTTTGGGGTTTTTTGTGTGTGCATTTGTCCCACTGCACAGTGATCTTTGATGAACTTCTCTATTTCCTTCATTTAAATAGAAACTCTTGGAGGGCAGAAATGTTTGCAGGAGGGGAGCTTGCTCATTTTCTGTCTATAGCTCCCAGTCCCCTGGCAAATGCCTGACACATAACACACTCCACATTTGAATGAATGAATCATCAAGTTACCACAGATGCATTTGTTGACATGTGAATGGCAGTTATTAAATAAACCAACCCCGAGTTAATAAAAACAGAAATCATTTGTCAAAGTTTCATTGTTGCAGAACTTTTAGTACGCTATTTAAATGAGACCTCAGGGTTCAAAGGGAAGTTTTTATTTGTCAGAGCAGTAGAGGCATCCACCTTGTGTGGAGGGCTTTTCACCTGTGTGGGATTGGCTGTGGCTATCACCAATTTCAGAATTCAGATTTTTGTGTTCCTAATCCAAGGGAGAAGGGACTGTCAGCGTGTGTGTGTGTGTGTGTGTGTGTGTGTGTGCGCGAGCGCGCACACGTGTGTGCGCAAAGGGGTATGTGTGCGTGTGACAAATGACTGGGAGTTTTAATGAAAGGCTCGCTTTATTTTTCTGCAGGTGATGTATCACCAATCAGTATGTCTCCCATCAGTCAGTCTCAATTCATTCCATTGGGGGAAATCCTTTGCTTGGCCATCTCAGCAATGAACTCAGCAAGGAAACCTGTCACCCAGGAAGCACTGATGGAACACCTGACAACGTGTTTCCCAGGTAATGAGAAAAGAACAGGGTCTTTTCTGAAGGCAGGTGTACTCTCTGCCTCGAGAACTTCAAATGGACTGTTCTGGAAGCTTTGATTCCCCCCCCCCCCCCGCACTGGGGATTGAAACCAGGGCTTTCACACTCAGCTATATACCCCTCACCCTATCTTTGTTTTATTTTTATTTTTTATTTTTTTATTTTAGAACAAAGTCTCGTTAATTTGCCTGGGCTGGGCTCAAACTTGTAATCCTCCACACTCACCCTTTCACAGTGCTAGAATTATAGACGAGTGCCTGGCATTCTTCAAAACTGACCAGAAACTTTTCTTTTGTTCTTAAAAATCAAAGCACCTGTGTTATGTCAAAAGTAATCTTATTGCTTGAGGTGCAGTACTTTTTAAATTGGCACTAAGCCAAATAGAGAATTTGACAAAAATCACCAGGACTCAGTTCAACTTTTGCAATCCACCCTTCCTCAAATATGTGAAAATGACACTAGTCAGAAACAGCTAACTGAAAATCTTAGTCCATAGGGATTAAACTACAGAAAAAATAATGTCAAAAACATCTTGCATGTTTGTGGCATGGATTGATGAACTTTTAGAGAATATGACTTGATAAGTTAGTTATAATTTCATTTTAAAAATAAAATACATTTCTGCTTTCCTTTAAAAATATAAAAAGAAGGTACCAGCCCAGCTGTCTGTGGTGAAGGGAGGCCCTTATTCCTGCTTTATGCTTCGGATGTCAAACTCAGAAGCTTTAAAAATCCTTTTATTTTTCTATAGCTTCATGAAAGATCATATAGCCTTTTCAGAATTAGTTGTCTACCACCCACTAGGGAGCTATAAAATAAAGAATGGGAAGAATGCACAGACAGTATGTGACAGTGAGACACGTGTCACTGTGAGGCAGCTGATAGCAATATTCCTGTTGGAATACTTTGTTGGGAAGTCCATATATCACTCATACTTCAAAGCATAACTGGCTTGCTAGCTTTGGCGCAAGTGAACTTTAACCCCAAGGCCTTGGTCGTAGAGGAAATGAGCGGACCTGACTGGAGCTTCGTCATGAGTGTGGTGCTGGCGACCCCACAAGTTTGCAAAGAGACTGCACAAAACTGAGTCTGGGGCAAGTGTTTATGGACTGTGGCCCAGTGTGGGCCACCACTTGTTTTTGTAAACAAAGATTTTTGGAACACATCTATGTCTGAATAGATTCTCTTTAGATCATTATGCTGCACTGACAGAGTAGGGTGTGCACACCGGATACAGTAGGCCTCACCGGGCCTACGCTGTTTACTGTTCTGTCACCCCTAGTCAGAGATGTAGTGGTAATTATTTACAATTTTGCTCAGCAGTAGTAGCTCCAGATTTAAATTAGCATTTTGTACCAAGTCATACTTGTTTCTGGTCTGCTTTCATTTCTTTTTTTTTTATTAATTTACTAATACGGAGATGCCTTCCGGCTTATCTCTTTCCTTCCTTTCTTCTCTTCTGTTCCTTTCATTATTTTCACCTTTCATCACTTAAGCTATATCAGAACAAAAACACTTTTGAAATATTAGTGCTTTCGATTCTATTTTGAAAAATGTGCTTTCAGTGACAGTGGTAATACTCTGGAGGGGCTTAAATATCATATTTGTATGTTTTTAAGTGTAAGAGTATTTACATTAAAAAATCTATTTGATAATAAAATTTTGGATTCATAAGTATTATTAAAATATATTCTCATTTATATAAATAAAAAAATAGTGTAGAATTTGGCTCCTGTTTGGTTTTGGACATCCACATCTTGACGAGATTTTAACAACTAGTTTTCTACTAAAAATGTTTCATCCACTAAAACAAAACTTAATTATCACCTTATGTAACTGGAGTTCTTTTCAGATTAACTCAGTGGCTTTTATTTATCAGATTCCTGTACAAAAACAAGAATATTTTTTAAAAGGTTTAAAAAGAATAAATACTTGCCTTTCCTGTTTCTAAAGAACTATTCATTCATCCAGAATGAGTGGAGGTTTAAGTTGGGCTAAGACTTGTTATGTTCTTGGAGCTGGAGCATCCTGGGAGGAAGGCTGATCTTAGGGAGATACAGTTAGAGCCTAAGTCTGGGTGTAGGGTTGAGTTAACTTTAGAATTTAGTGGAGCTTGTTAATGTAACTACACCATGTTCTATTTCCGTTTCATCCTACTACACTTTACCTCATCCAGTGTTCATAAACACGAAGAATAATCTAAAGAAGCCCACTAAATGTGTTTACAGCTGGGTGCAGTGGTACACTCCTGCACTCCCAGCTACTTGAAAGACTGAGGTAGGAGAATTGTTTGAATCTAAGAATTCTAGGCCAGTATTAGCAATGTAGGGACCACGTCCCCCAAAATCAAAACAAACCATTTTCAGCCAGAAATGTTTAACATGTAGAACAAGTGCGAGTGCTCTCTGTTTTCACAGCTGATCAGATTTGAGAAGCTAAAGCAATTTGTAGGTCTAAGGAACATCACATTGCGGTGCAGTCTTTTAAGAAATATTTTTACCTTGGAAAATGGAAAGGTATGGAAAAGGAGTGAGGTCAGATTTCAGTCTTGTTAGAATGTAAAACTTACCTTTGTTCTTTAAGCATGAGTTCAAAAATTGAATTCATGGGCCAGCAAGATAGCTCAGCAGTGCCTGATTTGGCAAGCACAGGAACCTGGATATGATCCCCAGCACCACATGCTGCACCAGCCCCACCCCTGGGCATGCTGAACTGGCCACAGAGACCTGGTGTGGTGGTGTTCACCTGTAATTCCAGTGCTGGGGAGGCTAAGACAGGAGGATCACTAGGAGTCTGAGCTGCATGGTGAGACCCTGCACCAAATACACTAAAAAAAAAGAGCACATGATGACCATGAATATGCAAATATCCATTACTTCTTCAGGTCAGCCCCACAGTTTTCTGGTAGAGCTCAGGATTTTGTCTATCATTGAAAGTATGAGTCATTATTCCAGGGCTTAATAATAAAATAATAACCATAAATATCAGCAATTTCCAGTTAAGTCTTTGAAAACTCAAGATAAAAGTATGGGGAGAAAAGAATGCTTATGGGTTCTTTCTTTCAGAATAAACATTATTTGAGTGATAGCCACTCACTTTTGAGTGAAAATCCAAGATTTTTTTAAAAGGCATAGATCAAATCTCGTGGAAGTTCTTATCCTTTCATTTGAGATCAACCAAAGGCACTGGCCTTAGTGGTGAGTAAGGTAATGGCACTGTAGTCATAATTCTGTACAGTTTGATGTGTTTAAAGTTATTCATGGCAAGTCTACAGTCAGCAAATTATATCATACACTGTAAGTGTTGCCTTAAAGTCATGGCTTTGAGTTAAGCCTCAGCTTTTCTTTGGGGCAACCATGCAAATTATGTGATCCTAAATTCTTATAAATGTATCTTTAGGATATGGTCGGTTTTACACCTGGGTTTGTGAATCTTAATTGCTATGCTAACACCTACATGATCCATGGACTACAATGTGGGAAGTGAGTCTTCCTCTCTGGGGTCTTTATCTACATGAATGGTGTCTTCTCTTAGTCACCAGGAGGCCTGATTGTTAGTGGGATGTCAGAGGTCCTTAAAGTTGCTTATCTTATGTGTAAGCATTTTTTTTGTTTGTTTAATATTGGTACCTAAGCATGGCATATGTACAGCTTGGTTTAGATCGCTACTAAATCAAAATACTTGGATATTTCTATATTATACAGAAAGCACCTCAAAGCTAGAGAAAATTTTGTTATACCGGCCTTAAAATTATTTGCACAAGAATGCATTTATCAACAGTAAGCATTACACTTAAGAAAATTAGGCAACTCAAAAGTTAAATAATTACATTAAGGAGTTCATCAAGCATGAGCAACCTTACTTGTTCTGCCTTGCTCACTAATGTGCTTTCTAAAGTTGGTAACACAAGTGGACACCTTTGTGTATGTCAGTAACACAAGTATATGTCATGTCATATTCATGGAGCTTCTATCCTTGAGAATTTAGGCTATTTCTAATTCCTTGATAGTCTCCTTTTGTAGTTTTGGAAGGGCTGGGGGAACCTAAACTTTTCTGCTCACCCAGCTCTCCTGGTTTGCTAGGAGATTCTCAACATTCTCTGAAGGTGGATTTGCATGGCTTCTTAGCTGTATGGGTTACTGTTTTCTCCTTGCTAGACGAAGTACCCAATACCCAATATTAAGGAAGAAAAGGTTTATTTAGCTCATAGTTTATGGTGTTTGTAATCCATAATCAGCTGGCTCCAAGGCAGGGTGGCATGGCACAAGAGCAATAGTTCAAGGTGGTAGACAACAAAAACAGGGCGAATGAGCCTCTTTTCCTCCCTTATATTGGATTCAGGCTCTCCACTGAAGGGTAGGTCCTTTGCACCCACGCTGTCTCCCTGCCCTCCTCTTGCACCCGCTCAGGATATTTACAAAGAGAGGACCCTGCCCCCTGCTGACTCACTTAGTCAAGTACCTAGCCTTCTCAATGTATCAGCCATTACATCCCCCAAAGTTGACACTAATAGTGTTTAATGACCACTCACTTTATGTCAGGTATTGTTCACTTGCATTGAACTCTTTTAAACTCTTTTTTTAAAATTTTTATTTATTTGAGAGAGAGAGAGAGAGAGAGAGAGAGAGAGAGGTGTGTGTGTGTGTGTGTGTGTGTGGCCAGCTCAGCCCACCAGGAGGCGGGGCTGGCTGGCATGTGGTGCTGGGGGATTGAACCGCGGTCCCTGATGCCTTGCCAAGCTTGTTCCAAGTAGGTGCTTTAGACCACTGAGCCATCTCTCCAGCCCCTCTTTTAAACTCTTAATAACGTTATGAGGCTAGGTACCATCTTTACCCACATTTTCATATCAACAAGCAGAGGTTTAGAGAAACTGAGTTACCGCTTCATTTCTTTGTTAGGGCTGCTGTTCCAAAGTGCAGATAACTTAACAGAAATTTATCATCTTACAGTTCTGAAGACCAGAAGGCCCAACCCAAAATGTCAAGAAAGTTTGGTTGATCCCTTCTGATGACTGTAAGGAAAGAGTTAGTTCTAGCCTCTCTGTCAACATCTCTGTATGTAAATTAACATTAATCATACTGGATTAGGACCCACCTAAGAATCTCATTTTACTTGGCTACAGCTATAAAGATCTGATTTCTGAATCAGGTAATCTCAGGAGGGGATACTGAAGAGTTTGGATTTCAGCATATGAATGTGGGAGAGTGGTGCTAGTCAGTTTCTCATTACTGTAGCAAATACCTGAGATAATCAACTATAAAGAGAAAGAATTTATTTTGGCTCCCAGTTTTAGGGCTTTGAGCCCCTGTGTTCAATTGGCTGCATTCCTTTTGAGCCTGTGGCAAGATAGCACAACATGGTTAGAGCACATAGTGGAGCAATAACACACACCTTAAGTCAGAAAGCAAAAGAGAGAGAAGGCTGAGATCATAGTCTCCTCCAAGGTACACTCCTAGTGACCTAGAAAACCTCTACTTGCACAAGTTTCAACACCTCTCTGAAGGGTCAAGATGGGAACCAACCCTTTAATTCATAGATGTGTGGGAGGTGTCCCAAACCAAATTATAATGGGAGTGGGAGCGTAGGAGAATGAGTGACTCTACCAATAGCGCTAGCCAGCAGGGGTGAACCCCGGCTTTCTACCTGGCAACTGGCCTCCAAATCTTGGGCTTTCACATTCCACATCAGACTGCTTTCTTCAGTTTGGGTTGATCCATGTGAAATCACCTTTTTGTGGCTCAGTCATGGCTGAACACTGGAAGTATTTGTGATTTGACCTGACATCAATTTCCAAATTTGTCATTCAGATCAATTTTATTGAGTATAAAGAATGTAAAATACCCAATAAATAAAGTGTATGGGCTGTAACCTAGAAAATTTATACTCTCTTAAGAATATACTCTTAGTTCTGTTTTTTCAGGTAGAGAAGACATAAAAATGCACACAAAACCTTTTGAAAATAGTATTAGTCATTGCACAAAGAAATATGTGTCATTTTTTCCTCAGTGTTTCTATTCTAGCAAATATAGGAGTTATGGACATAACACCAATAATTATGAACAGAGTATCTTTTCTTTTATGGATGTGCTTATTAGAACTTGCTCATTACAAACTAGCAAAACCACTTCTATCTGCTAGACTTACACCAAAATGGAGAATGATCTTTCCTGATTTTAATTGGTACAATAGTGAGTTTCAAACTTGAAGGTGATGATGATTTCAGAACTAGAAGGCACATCATAGGCAATGGTCAAGCCTACTTGCCCTTTTATATACATTAATTTATAAACTTAGGTAATTACCATTAAAAAAACCCCAAGCATTTAGAAGAGTTCTAATGTGGTAGCTTCACATTAGAATTGTTTGCAATTGAAGATGCTTTTTTTTTTTTTAAAGATGCCTTTTTTTAACCATGGTTTCTTAATTGCTCTTGTTAAAAAGACTTTCCTCTAAATTTCTATCCTATTTTCATTTTCTTTTTTGATACCAGGGATTGAACTCACAACCTTGCTCTTTCCAGGCAGGCACTTAAGCATTAAGCTATCTCCCCAGCACTCATTTTCATTTTTATCTTACTTAAAAATGATCTTCACAATTTAGGTTAGTGTAACAACAGTAGCAGTCTAACTCCACCAACTTCCATATCTTCCTTTCAAACTATTTTTTATACAGTACTGGAAATTTGAACCCAGGCCTTCATAAGTGCTAGGCAAGATCTCTATCCTTGCGCTATTGCCCCAGCCCAATTTCAGTTTTTATACTTTTTCATTCTATAGGCAATCATATTTATAGAAGTTATAAGAGAAAACTAGGATTCACACTCAATAAATACCTTGGTGTGGACACTGAGTTTGTATCATGAGGTAGACTTTGGAGCTTGGCAGTATTAATAGGATTCTAAACATCAGGAATCAACAGCATGTTCCCACTAAGTTCTCATAAGTATGTTTCTTTTTGATTTTAGGTGTTCCAACCCCAAGTCAAGAAATCTTGCGGCACACGCTGAACACGCTGGTACGGGAAAGGAAAATCTATCCAACTCCTGATGGCTATTTCATCGTGACCCCACAGACATATTTCATAACTCCTTCCCTCATAAGAACTAGCAGTAAATGGTACCATTTGGATGAGAGGATACCTGACAGGCCTCAGTGTACCTCTCCACAACCTGGAACCATAACACCCTCTGCCTCAGGCTGTGTCAGGGAACGGACATTGCCCAGAAACCACTGCGACTCTTGCCACTGCTGCCGAGAAGACGTGCACAGCATGCATGCATCGACTCTGCAGAGGAAACCCGCCAAGGACTGCAAAGACCCTTACTGCCCTCCTTCACTATGCCAGGTGCCACCCACTGAAAAGAGCAAAAGTACTGTAAATTTTTCTTATAAGACAGAAACTCTCTCAAAACCTAAAGATAGTGAAAAGCAGTCAAAAAAATTTGGGCTCAAGTTATTCCGGCTAAGTTTTAAGAAAGACAAGACCAAACAATTAGCCAATTTTTCTGCCCAGTTTCCTCCTGAGGAGTGGCCTCTGCGAGATGAGGACACACCAACGACTATCCCTCGGGAAGTAGAGATGGAGATCATTCGACGTATTAACCCCGACTTGACTGTGGAAAATGTCATGAGGCACACGGCGCTGATGAAGAAACTTGAAGAAGAAAAAGCACATAGGAGTAAAGCCGGATCCTCTGCTCACCACAGCGGAAGAAGTAAAAAGAGTAGGACTCATCGCAAGTCCCATGGGAAATCTCGGTCACACAGCAAGACAAGAGTATCTAAAGGAGACCCTTCAGATGCCTCACATCTGGAAATCCCTGGTGAAAGAGAGTATGATTTTTGTGACCCTCTGACCAGGGCACCCAGAGAGGGCTGCTTCATCATTGAACACAAAGGAGATAACTTCATCATGCACAGCAACACAAACGTGATTGAGTCCCACTTTCCTATGACACCAGAATGGGATGTATCTGGTGAATTGGCCAAAAGGAGAACTGAGATGCCTTTTCCAGAACCTTCCAGGGGAAGCTCCCACTCAAAAGTCCACCGAAGTCACAGCCATACCCAGGACCGAAGGTCCAGGAATGAGCGATCCAACAAAGCCAAGGAGCGATCTAGATCAATGGATAACTCCAAGGGCCCCCTGGGTGCTTCTTCTCTCGGCACGCCTGAAGACCTAGCTGAAGGATGTAGCCAAGATGATCAGACCCCTAGCCAGTCCTATATTGATGACAGTACTTTAAGGCCTGCACAGGCTATTGGCCACCCAAGGGCTCACATTTCATCCACAAGCTATAAAGAGGTATGTATTCCAGAAGTAGTCAGTAGTGGCAAAGAACCTTCCAGTGCTTGTAGCCTTTTGGACCCAGGCAAGCCCCCTGAGAGTTTGCCATCCTATGGTGAACTCAACTCTTGCCCAACAAAAGCAGCCACAGATGACTACTTCCAGTGCAACACCTCTAGTGAGACAGTGCTCACGGCGCCATCACCTCTAGGGAAGAATAAGGAGGACCATGACACGCTGACCCTGGTGGAAGGGGTAAAAAAGCTGTCTCCATCTGACAGACAGGTCCCCCATTCTTCCAGGGAGCCTGTTGGGCACAAGGAGGAATCCCCAAAAGGACCAGGCGTGGGCCCTGCCACTTCGGGTGGAGTGGCTGAAGGGATTGCCAATGGACGCCTGGTCCAGCACCATGGCGCTGAGCCCAGCAGCCTGGATAAGAGGAAAGAGATATTCAGCAAAGACACACTGTTCAAACCTCTTCACAGCACCTTGTCTGTAAACAGCTATCACAAATCAAGCCTGTCCCTCCTCAAATCTCACCCGAAGACACCTACTGACACAATGTCCGGCCGATGTGAGAAACTGGAACCTTCCCTGGGGACCTCGGCTGCACAAGCCATGCCCGCCTCCCAGCGTCAGCAAGAGTCAGGCGGGAACCAGGAAGCTTCTTTCGACTATTACAATGTCTCCGATGATGATGACTCTGAGGAAGGGGCGAACAAAAACACGGAGGAGGAGAAAAATAGAGATGATGTAGGCACCATGCAGTGGCTACTCGAGAGGGAGAAGGAAAGAGACTTGCAGAGGAAGTTTGAGAAGAACCTCAACCTCCTTGCCCCAAAAGAGACTGACAGCAGCAGCAACCAGAGAGCCACTCACTCAGCCCGGCTGGACAGCATGGACAGCAGCAGCATCACTGTGGACAGTGGATTCAACTCCCCACGGTAGGGAGAGGTGTCTTTCTGCGCACGCACGCGCGCACACGCATCAGGGCTGGGGGCTTCATGCAAATAACTTGGAAAGCTTCTCGCAGTCTCAGTTTTGTGAATAAGGGTTAAGAGTTGTCTGATTTATATTGTTAACAACCTGTTTCTGACTTCTTTTTCAGGAATTGAAAAAAAAAATGTTTCTGCAGCTGTAGAGATCACCAATCTGGACTGGTGGGTTGGCTCCTTCCCTCAAACTTGCATCAGTATAGACCAAAAAGACTAATATTTCCCAGTGTTTTAAAATTTCTCCTTGTATTGCCACCATGCTGAGAGAGGGGATTTTTTAAGCCCTTCACATTTCAAACTTTTTAAATAGAGTGAACAGTCAGCAGGAGATGGGGGTTGGGCACTTGGAGTGGTACTAGGGCGCAGTTCTCTAGTGACAGTGTAACTGCCAGTTCCGAAGCCTAGAGGAGCTAGGAGCTTGCTACCTTTTTAACCTCTCCTTTGTGTGCCTGCCTCTCTTGCTTGTGTACCTTCCTCCGTCACCCACACCCCTGTCCTCAGGGAAATGGAAACTTGTTCCTCTCTCAGAAAAGCTAGAGGCCTGTGCTTTGTTAGATCCAAACAGGTGCCAGCTTTTCTTTCTCCTCCTGTAGTGCTCATACAGCCAGTTAGATGTCATCATCACAGTTATCTCTTTTCTATAAGTCAGCAGCCAATGGCAATTGAGCTGATAGAATGGCTGATGGGCCCAAAGGACAGACATTGTTCAAGGGTCACATAAACAAATTGTGTCTCTGAAACTTCCTTGTTTCTTCTTAACTCTTCTTAAAGGGCAGTTTGGGTCTTAAACCTTCTTCTAAATTATACTCCAGATTGGTGACTCTGAGATGCAGAAATACTACTGAGAGATTGGTATTCTTAACAGTGATGCCGAAGATCTTAACAACAATAATGATTTTTACAAGTAGGATTATGTGCATTATGTATTTATTTTTAATTATCAATTAAATTTGTTACGATCATTTTATCATATCTTTGGATTATTTGTGGACAGAGCATCCCAAGTCAGAATTGAGACTCATTAATATGTCCCATGTTATGCCTTTATTAGCTCATAAAGGCCTAGTTCTCAATGATGATGACTCTGATGATTACCTGCTCATGGAAACTTTTTTCCATGTTAATGCATTTCCCAGGCATCCCACGTCTCTTTGACTTGTCCCTTGAGGAATTTCTGAGAGACCTCAGGGAGCCACAGAATCCAGTCAAAAAAACCACTGGTCTATTTAATGACCTACCTCTCTAAGAAATTGTTTTGTTAAATAATGTTTTAATCCCAAATCAAGTCTTAATTTGTTTTCCAAATTATTTTCTCTATCCTTTTCCTCTTCTGTACTTTTTCCCTCTTGTCATCCTAGTGGTGGATACCAGATAGCATAATTGAAGGTCTGTAGTCCATGATAAAACTTCAAAGCCATCCTTTATAGAAGATGTGGTTCATTTCCCTATATCTTTATATTCTACTATTCCTTATTATCTAGACTCTATTGCCTAATGCTTTTCAAACAGTTATTTCTAACCTTTCATGTCCCCCTCTTGCTTTCTGGATTTCCCCAGGCAGAAGCTATAAAACTCTAGACAGTGTTACTAAAGAGATGCTAGGACTAGTTAAGTGGACTCTACCTCAAAACCTGCTACATTGAAAGTGTTTATGTATGGATAAATGGAACTATTCATGAAATAGGTGAACCAGTATATCCACAGAATATATTATCTGAAAACTTGGAGTATAGCATATAGAACTTACGACTAGGATTATTTCTTGAAGTAAGTTTATTTTTATTTTTAAGATAATGTACTTAAATGATTTTCATGGGAGAATGTAAATTTTCTTCCAACAGACAAATTTCATGCATTTGCCATATCTGTCCACTGATTCAAGGAAGAGATTTTTTTCTCCAGGAATATGTAAATCACCCATAAATTTTATGCAGTTAGAGAATTTAAAACTACTTACTGATTTTACTGCTGTCATATATAATATCCTTTGGTTAGAAGCTAGATGGAAAACTTTTTTCTCTATACCTTAATAAAGTAAGCTGCCTTTCAGGCTGAGGGTGGAGCTCAGTGGTAGAGTTCTTGTCTTGCATGCACAAGGCCCTGGGTTCGATTTCCAGAGCCACACTCAGAAAGTTAGTTGCCTTGCCAATATTTGAAGTTCTATGAAAGAAAATATTTGACTTGGAGTTTTCAAAATGAGTAGTATTTTAGCTAAATGACCTTACCATACTAGCCCTTCCACTCCTATGAGACTTGGGAATCTTAAGGGGGGTGTTTATTTCTTAAGGGGTGTGTTTGTTTCTAAGATATACAAATATCTTAGAAATAATTTACTAAGCAATTAAGAATCAAACAAAAAAAACGATTGAAACCCAAAGATTACAGTGGTGACCCAGATGTTTTGTTCAACCACATTTCCAAAATTCTTTAGTCCCTTTTGTTCAAAAATAGAGGATACTAAAAAAGTTAGATGCTAAAACTTGAACTATCCTGGAAGAACTCATAAGGAAAATAAAGTCTTGTTATGAGAAATCTGTTACTCCAACACTAAGGCAATAACTGGTTAAACAATACAATATGAAAATCAGAGAACATAGGCTTCCAGCACAGCCTGTATACACTCTGTGGAAGCCTGGGGCCCACTGAAACCATGCGGGCTGAAGGATGAACAACAGAGCTACCTGGTTCATTTCTCCTGCCTATAAAAGCCTGAAACCTTGTTTTTAAAGTTGTATTCCTTTAAGTCTCATTCAGAAAAATTAAATATCTGGAATATTTGTACTGAATTAAATTTCAAGAGTATTTAAAAATCCATCTCCATTAACCTTTCCATCAGCATGTTCAGAACTTTCAATATGTCACAGACTATACTCATTATTACAGCAGAAATGAAATATTCTTTGAAGAAATTGGAATAGTGTGTGAACTTAGCACTATTAATGTACTAGAAATGGTCAAAGCTACTTAAAGTCATTGCACTGCAGCTACAACTCCCAACTTAAGTGATCTGTTGCCATGATATATGTGTATAATACCTGGGACCCTACCTGGAATACAGCATGTATTCAATGAATGTTAAGCCTATTCCTCAAAAGTCAGTTTAAAATTATACCATTTGGACCTTAAACATGCTTTTTCCTATACAGAAGATGTCATTAGTAAGTATTGATTTCCAAGCCAAGCCTCCCTGGCTATGTAAGTATGCTAGATGTGTAACAGGAATAATTTGCATTTTTCTAGCTTTGCATGGGACAACTTCTTTGTTGCTGTATATGTTCTTGTGGTCACTCTGTGAGGAGTACGTTACATGGTAACTCTCCCCATTGCAGATGTGAGGAAGTCAAGTAGTGCTAAAGTTACTGTCATGACTGAGAATGGCACTGAAGAAATATACTGTGAAATCTTGGGGTGGTACATGTCCATTGCTTGTGAGAAAGGGATGCAGAATAGAGGATTCAGACAGAATTTATATTTGTTTAGGATGTCTCCACTACAGTGGAGAATTCATCTGTTGACTAGCTGTAACACCCTTAAATTAGATATGGGGACTAAATGTTTTCTAAAGTTTGAATCTACTCACTGAGGTGGTTATGGAAAATTATTATGGCTTCTTCAGTCTCTGTGGAAGTTAAGTTTCTTGTAGCCGCTTTTGGGGATCTGAAAGAAATTTATTCAGCTCCCCCAGTGGGGTTAGGCAATCTTAGTTCCATTATTGCCCTACATCTTTGAAATGTTAAATGTTTTAAATCTCTTAAAAATAGATTTAAATATTTCTTATTCTTAAAAGTTAGGGGCTGGGAAAATAGCTCAGTGGTTTAAGGACCTGCCTGGGAAGGACAAAGACCCAAATTCAATTTCCCAATATCTCATGCCCAGCTGGCCCTGGAACAGGGCATGGTGGCACACACCTGTAATGCCAGGAATGGGGAGGCTGAGACAGGAGGATCACTATGAGTCCAAGCTGTGTAGCAAGACCTTGTACCAAAAACAAACAAACAAACAAACAAACAAACACTAAAAGTAGAAGAGAAATTGAAATGATAAAAGCTTTTAAATTAGTTCCATTTTATATGAAGTGTTTAAAATGAAAAATAGTTCTGTCAATGAAAGTGAGAAATAAATAGAAAAAAATCTAAGGTCCTTTTTCTTAAAATGCTGTATTTTAATTGACATGTTAAAATTTGAAACAAGCCAGGATGTAGCTCAGTGGCATAAGTAACTGCCTGGCAGGCACAAGGTCCTGAGTTCAATCCCCAGTACAAAAAAAAAAAGTAAATTAAAGTGAAAATAAATTTAAAATAAAATTTGAAACAGAGGTATCAAGTGTTTCAAAAGATTTTGTCATTAATGTGCCAACTTAGCTGGTGGCGTGCTTGGAGTCCACCAAAGTCAGAATGTGCTAATCAAAGACATAAATGGAATCAAGTCAAATTATTCACTTTGTCAAGGAGCAGTTATGCCCACATATTTCCAGCCTGAAATGAAATCATTCCATGGGTGAGTATTCATTTTAAAAATAGTGTAATAGTTATCTACCATATCAAACTTTGAAGTAGTTTCTGTAAATGTGAAAAGAAAGGAGAGCCATTTCCAAGCACATTTGGCAGCGCCGAAACCCTTTATTCATTCACTGTGCTGCTGATTGCAACATGTGTCCACGGAGCTCCTGGAGCCCTGGCTGGAAGAGCATATGCTAATAATCAGTAGAGACGAAGCCACAGAGGAAATCCATTAACTACATCATTTGCTCTTCCTCTGGGGCTCAGTATATAATTATTTATATTCAAAGCAAAACAAAACCAACCCTTTTTACTCTTTTAGTACTCGAGAGAGCCTGGCTTCCAACACATCAAGCATTGTTGAAAGTAACCGTCGTCAGAATCCTGCTTTGAGTCCAGCCCACGGTGGAGCTGGTCCAGCCTTCAACTTCCGTGCAAATACAGATCCCCCGACCAGTGAAGCTGAGAAGCTACAGAAACCATCCAACTGCTTGCAAGCTTCTGTTACTAGCGTGTGATAGTCCTTCTGCCTCAGATCTTCTGTCTCACTCGATACAGCAAAGTTTACGACACTGGGACTGATGTTTACATCTTCAGAAAGACAAGCATCTCAGGCACAGTTTTGGGATCTACTTAAACTGTGCTGCTAAATAGGCTAGGGCAAAAAAAAAGTCTTTATTTCAGAGTATTGCTTTTCACATTTATGGCTCTGTAGCAACTGAATAGCAGTAGGGGTGATATGTATACTTTTGCTTCACTAATTGTATCTGAGCACACATAGGAAAGTCTCGACACTGTAAGTGGAGTATGCATTTTCAATGTCATGCAGTTACCAATTCCATTTTAAAATGCCACAGATACGTGTTGCTCCAGTCTGTGGTTAAATGGGGCCACAGAACTGATCCTTGACACTTTTAAAAATAATAATAATAATAATAATAGAAACCCCAAGCCACCACAAAATGTCAAATTCGAGGGTCCACCTTGAAGGAAATCAATGCCAAACTGACCAGAAGGGACCCAGCCCTTTGTGTGTGAATTGTTTATGCACCAGTCATTTTTCACTGTGAGTTTTTGTGACACTATTTTCCAGGCTCCCATGGAAGTGTGTCAGAAGGGTTGCAATGGAAATACTGGGAGTATTTTCAGATTTTCCCTTTTCAGTGTAACAGATGCTTGTCTTGATTTTTAACCTTCCATAATCACAAACAGGAATATAGGCCTTTGAATCTGAAGTGGACAAAGGAAGGGAATTGCCAGTCTGGCTGGGGCACAACAGTAAGTGATGGAAGAGGTAATGTGGACTTTTAAAAGGTATTAATCAAATATTTAAGGAGGATGATTTCCTCCTTGTGAAACTTATGACCATCTTATCTTACTATAATAGATATAAGAATTAGTTTGTTTAAAAGCAAAATGTTCTTTGTGATACAAATGAAGAGTATGGCCTGAGGATGTTATTCTTTCTAATGGAAGGACATAAATCTATTTTATGTAGTTTTAAATAGAATGCCTAAATTAGGCTATGGAAGATAATTTTTAGTGGTAATAGGAAAGAGCAAATTTAGGGAGAGTTGAACTTCAGGCCTTTTATTCCTGGGAAGATATCTATAAAGAAAAACTTTTAAAGTAATTTTTGATTAGAAATATACATGTGCCCATGTAATAAACAACAGAATGTGCTCATTCTGCTAATGTGGTATAATCATAATTTGTACTCCCCAAAAATCTATTGTAATGACAGTTATGCATACATGAACTATGCCAGAGTAATGTTTACAGATACTTTGTAACCAATTTCAGGAGGCTTTTTTAGGTGGATATATAGTAATTAGCCCAACTTATTTCAAAATGGTTTAACATTTTGCTTTATTTTACAATGTCAAGTTCAATACAAAGAAGGTTCAACAGCAAAGATCCAGATTTCCAACATTTAAGTTCTAGGCTTATAGGAAAGAGACATCCCTATGTTTTACTTTCTGAGGATAGTTGAATACATCTGTAGATGATGGAAAAACAATTTACAAAAGGATTACATCTGATGCAAGGAAATGGTCTGACATAAAGTTGTATTTAGTTTTGAGAAGCATGTGCTGTTTGGAGCTATACATTGTAATATACATGGACATAGAGTTTTGTCACTTCAAATTTTAAAAATTGTCATAAAATTTATATGATACTTTTCCTTCCATATTAGGTTTAATCATTAGCAATCTGTTTAAGGAAGGCAGATAAGTAGTGAGACAAATTCTTAAACCATATGAATACTCTTTCGTGTTTTGTCAGCTACTTGAAAATTGCATTGGGTCCAATTGGGTTCCTCTAGTTTGGTTTGACTTCTTTTGGGGAGCCTATTGTAGTAAAATTCAAGCATGCTTCTTTGTAAATTGCCCCATCATTGAAATGCTTAAGTCAGTCAGTTTTCAATCTCATGCCTTATTCCTCTAAGGCATGTCTCAGTTGTTCAGCAATGCATTATTTCATTGCTTAAATATGCCCAGAAAGAATGAAAATGTAACTAGTAGACCACATTGTCTATTTCCTTGGGGAGCTGTATACCATATGGTTACTAAATTTTTCTGTCTTCATTCAGGTTTTCAAAAACCCTGCTCTCAAATTTTTATCATACTCAGCTAATAAATAATATAACCATTCGTATAAGACATGAGCCTCCAGTTGACTATCTGAAAGTAGCCATTGAAATAATCAAGTACTATGTGAGCAGGAAAGAAATCATTACATTTAAGAGAAGCTTTAAGATATGAATTTCACAAGAAATAGGTTTACAGAAGACGTTCAAATAAAATATGTATGCTATTTGCTTGATGCTAGGGGTACATGATTTTTTTTTTTTTAAATGAAAACTCCCTTAGACCAGCAGCCATTAGTGTAGAAATGGTGGACTTTAAAGATGGTATACCATATAAGCAGATGTCCCAAATAGAAATACTCTGGTCTGAATCTAATCTGGATTCTTGAATGGAGGAGAAGTAGTGGGAGGAAGCACATGACAAATGTGATTTGTGACATGTGACAAAGGCATGTGTCCAAGATGGTCTCACCCGATTGGTGAGGCTTTTGATGTCCACATCCTTGGGCCCTCTCCAAGCTTTGCCAGTGTTCCTCCAGCAAAACCATAGCTTTGTGTTACATGACTGCTTATCTAGTCTTAGAATTTATCAACTGAAAGGTTTACAAAACTGAATCTGGTTGAATCTCTGTGAGGTGTTCAACTTTAAGGGGTCAACACATCTGTCGGCATTTTGCACACTTATGTATTATTATGATACAGCATATTACTTTATGGTAATTTTTATTTTTACATATAACTACCTCCATGAATTTGATTATATGGCAGCAGTGTGTTAAAGTGTATTGTTCAGAAAAGCAACGTTTTAAACTTTCTTCAACACGAGGCCATGGGATTATGTGTGTGTGTCAGTGGTGGCCTGTGTGGACTCATGACCCTTTCATTGTCATGGTTTTCTTTCACAGCATTCTTTGGCTTTCAGCTGTAATTCTGTATTCTCTCTTCCCCATGAAAGCGCACTTGATTTTGTCATAAATGAAAGTTTAAAAATTTTTGTCTTCCCTCTTCTCCATTCCTACTAAAAGCTCTCTCTGGCAAAGAACCAATTGGTAAACATAATTTGGCAAGTTGTTTATTCCTATAGAAATCTGATTTGATTGCTAGGTTTTCAATAACAGAAGACAGAACAAAAAAAATTGGGACTGCCAACCCTGAAGCACTTTGGTCCTCTCTGCCTTGACCGCATGCTACCCTACCGAGCCCAACTTCTCTTTCATTAAAAGAGCTGTGCCATGCATTCCACAATTTCTGTTCAATAACTCATATTCCATTTGATATGTTTTGCACATCTCAGGGGACCTTAATGAGCATATGAAAAGAGGGGTGCATCCAGTAGAGAAAACAAGTAGAAGAGCCAAAAGGGGACTAGTTGGATAAAAATAACAGATGACTGCTTCCCTGATATTGGGGAGCTAAAGTTCAAGAAGCATAAATTGAAAGTTAATCTGGAGTAACACTGATCTGAACGCCAGCTGTTCTCCAATCTCTCTTTTTCATAACCCAGCCAGCATTTCTACAATGTAAATTTAAATTCTATTCCAGTCACCATCAAGAGGAGAACCCTGTACCATGAGAATGGAGGTACCGCTCCCATGTTAGGTTGGCACAGCTTTATACAGTTCTACCCAGGATAAACCACTTATCACCACCAAGTGTACTTGAACATCAAGTTTTTAACTTACATGAGAGGCTTATTTCTCACAATAAAATAGCGATCATTTTTGGAAAAGTCTCACCATTTGTAACATGGGTAGAATTCAGAGCTTGATTTAAAACCCAGCAACAACCTAGAATGATGTTGTACAGTCCACTTTGGGATTTCAAAGTACTTCCAAAGTATTAGATTCACAAACAACTAACAAAGCAGGTCATATTTGTGATACCCATGCTTAAAATGATTAAACAAAAGGAGTGACTTAAATTATCAACAAATACAGTGGCAGCTATCATTGATCTATTTTCTGTTTAATAGACCATCATGAGAAATCACTACAATGCTATTTTTTCTGTTGTGTGCTAATAAAGTCAAAGAAAATAAATACAGTTTTACACCTTTGTCCATTTTCATTCAGAAACTTCAGGGTGTTTGGGATCTTACACCTCAGTATACCTTACTGATACTGAATTACAAAGTGGGAGATTAGCAGATTAATAAGCCCACCGTGCCCTTGTAATCCAAGGCAAACCCAGCAATCCACCCTTACTTACAGTTTCACATTGGGTTTCTGTAATCCTCATACTTAAATACCATCTTCAGGAACATGACTTCTCCAGGCAGTGGAAGGTGCTGAAAGAGAAAATTTAATTACAGACTTTATCAGGTACTCTTTACAGTGCTCCACAGCACTGTGGAAATTCAGTGCAGTATATCGTCCTACTTGATAGGGTCTGGGTTTCCATGGAGCCAATCCAGTTCTAAGCATGTTCTCAAATTAGGAGATGTGAGATCGTCAACAGGGATCTTTTCCATTACCGCAGACCAATCCAAACCAGCTAGCAATGTGCTGTCAGACTAGAGTGGCCCAAGAAGTGATCACTTCCCCTTCCATCTCCCTATGTTAGTGCCATCCTGCCCACTGCCAACGCTGCCAATACTCTTCTGTTAATGAGGAACCCTTTGTCATACTTTTAGGACTAGAACACAGGAAGAATGAATGCAAAAGTCAAGGGAGACTTTGCTTTGGATTTGTAAAATATGGGCAGGAAAGAGATTGCCATCAGTCTGAGCTTTGCTAAGTAAGATAAAAGAATCAGCTGTTCCCCCATCCCTCTTACAGAAGGCTTTATAGTATTAAGGATACATCTAATATTTTCCTATAGATTTTTATTTAGGAGACATGTCATAAATTATATATATGAAAAACATTATTAAATTTCCTTGTGTGTTTGAAAAACAATGGCATTTCCCTGATTGAGTTAATCTTTGCATCTTTCCCAGCAGCATCCTGGAGATTCCCTCCAGTGATTGCTCCTTTAAGATATAATCCTATGTTTTTACAGTTGTTCTATGTCTTATACTTGATGATTCAGAATTTGACAAAGCTCAAGGGGAACTAACTACTTACGATTGTATGTTATCAGTTATAGGCTTTAATTGCTGATTGTTGGCTTCACATGTGAATTTACACCCTGCCAACCTGGTGTTTCTAAATGAGGCAGCAATAGTTCTGGCAAAGTGACAGTAATGCAAGTTTAGAAGCTTGACTGGTTCATGTGCAGCTGCCTACCTCCCTGTCCAAAGGCTGACCTGGGTACCCTCATTCCCTTACTCCCATCAAAACAAAATGGTACCTGGGCTCTCTTATGATAGTATTCTTCTGCATTTCTGGGAAGTCAA